CCCCAAAACCCCAAAACCCCAGAATAATTGCAAATAGCTTTTAAGTTAATAATTAAGAATAAAAATACTAAAATGTTTGTTAATAAATCATATTATAAATAATCTAGTTTTAAAAATAAAATCAAACAATAATAATGGGTTCGTAGCCATCTTAAATGGGGCCATTCGAAGGCCAACCAGGAATGCCAGGTTTAGCCTCAGACACTAACTAATCAGTTTAAAATCAAGAAATCCAATCGAAAAGGAAGCAAACTGACTAGTTCTCATCATCAAATGAGTCAATGACTCTAAACCCCAACAATATTAATAGGTAACCATAGCACTAGAAATCAATAACACATCTTGGTTTAGATTTTCTAATTCTGATTCAGAATGCAGCAGTGTATTTGGTGCATCTAACGACAATTGATTTAGCGGGCCAACTGAGCTACTTGGCTAGCAGCAGTAATAGCCACCTCTTCAGCAGCCACCTCAGCCGAAGCAGTCAGATTTAGTTAACAATGTTTTCACTTGGAATTTTGGAGGCTAGAACGTCATGTTGATTGGCAGCTTTAGCAAATGGCAGGAGAGAATCCCAATGAAGAAAATGGGTAATGAATTCACTCTGGTAAAGGCTCTTGAAAGAGGAATTCACTTCTATAAATTCATAATAGATGGGGAATGGAAATTCGCTCCTGATCAACCAACTCAGAGAGACAACAATGGGAACATAAATAACTTTATCGATACAACTCACTATGCTCCAGTATAGCAGTCCTTACCTCCTTAATAAATACAGCAAAGAACTTCTGAGGCTTAGCAAAATCAGTAATAGAATCCACAGCAATAGAGAAGAAAACGAGGGGAGAGTAATACTGGTACTGCTAATGTAGGCAGTGGTTATGGCCAGCAAATGCCTAATCTCGCAGAGATCAATCAAGATGCATAGGTGATGCCTATACACTTTCAATACAACTTCTTGAACAGAGACGACATTCCTCTGCACAACGAGAAATACTCTAAGCCTTCTATTAATAAAGACCTGCTTTTTGGAAATAAATCATTTTTTGATAACTAACTTGATATTCCATCACATGTCGTTTTGTAATAATCCTATGTTTTTTAATAACTATAGGAATCATGTGAATACCTGGAGAGATCAATCAGAATAGATGACAGTGATATCGATGACACAAAGACTTAACAAGACTAAATTTGTTACCACTATGTATTATAAGCCTAACTCCGAGGAGGAAAGTATGTTTGACTGAATTCATCAACTCATTGGACAATATAATTCAAATACACTCATACTTCAAATATTTTTGTAATTCATGATTCTGATTAAACATTATTTTATTGATGGGGTTTTGGGGTTTTGGGGTTTTGGGGTTTTGGGG